GTCCTGGGATCGAGCCCCGCGTCGGGCTCCCTGCTCGGCAGGAAGCCTGCTTCTCCCCCTCCCGCTCCCCCTGCTTGTGTTCCTTCTCTCGCTGTGCCTCTCTCTGTCATATAAATAAATAAAAAATCTTTAAAAAAAAAAAAATAGAAGGTTTCTCCATTCTACAGAGAAGTATCAATGAAAACACAGGCATCAGAACCTTAATATTCTTCAACTGTGAAAGGCTATAATTTATTCTTCTAATTCTACTTATTCAAATTAATGTTAATTTCTCTACTTTTTAATGTGACAATTTTTTTTCTGGGTTTTATTTTCTTACAGCTCTAATCACTTAAAAATATTATTCTGTAGTAGACTGTTGGGAGTGATCATCGCTGAGGAAATCTAATTCCTCCCCAGGCAAAGAGAATAGAAAAGGCAAGTTAGGATTATTTTGGCACAGAATCCATGATAAGTTTTGGAGGTCAAATTCTCCACTGATTTGGTGGTAAAGGAAATCATAAACTGGTATTCATTTTTTAGAGTTAAAAGTAATCAGGGAAAGGTCTAATGGCTCATTTTAGTTTGGTTTTTTTGTATGAAGTAAATTTAAGCCAAAAGAACTAAGGAAGGAGGATGTTCATTTGTTTGAGCATGACCTCTTCTCCTTTTTTACATCACATTGCTTTTTTTCTTGAGAATAATGTCTGTACCTTTTCAAATGTAACTGTTTGAAAAAAATCTCTTGATCGCCTTCCACTTTTTTTCTCCAGTGCTATATTCATTCCTGTTCTGTCCCTCTTTATGACAATGCTAGGCTATCACTTCCTATGGCACTTTCTGTGATGTCAGTGAGGAAAGAAAGGCCCTAACATGAACTAGTATAGGGAGTAAAATGAATCAGTAAGAGCTTTTGTAAACCATACAGGCTATTCTTGGAACCAGCAATTCTATGATGTTAAAGAAAATAATCCTAACAGCCTAAGGCAAAGAACATTCCAAAAGTCTTTATTTAGCAACCAAACACTTGAAAAAATATTCTTGCAGTTTCTGGTAGGCAAGATAGAAGACCAGATAACCCCAAGAGGAAAGGTAACCTTGTTCAAAATAAAATTAAACAGACCTTCATTTTCGAAGTTCTTGAGGATAGTTTTTAAAGCTCTTTGGTAAGTACTGTCTAAAAGTATGTTTGCAATTAGTCAGGTCCTGTGGACTGTCCCAGTACATGATAAACGTTGCTAACCCACCCTTTACCTCCAGTTTCCCATTTGCAGTTTCAATTTCATGTGGAATTTTTCAAAGGTACCATCATATAGAATGGTCAAAATACTTCAAAGACATCAGCATCAGAAACCATGGCAATTGTCAGCTTTGATGAAAAACAAGAATAAAAGTCACCTCTGCCCACCACCCACTTTGGCAGCATCAGCGAAGAAAGACAACAAATTATCAAGTACTTGTGCTCTTAAGTTCTCTGCTTTAGACATCAAGAAAAATTCACTAGAATGGGAATTTTTCAGAAAGATATGCCACACTGAAAAAAATTTATACACATTAAAAATTCGCCTCTCATTTCCTGACTGAGCTGTACCTTCTACCTTCTTTCTTTTAGGGTTACAACCCCATAACACAAATACTGAGGAAAAAAGGGGCAAAAGAAATTAAAGATGTACCTTATGGTCATTTTAATATGTTTTCAATAGGAATCAAATATAAACTAAATCCATCAAGGATGCTGCCCACTATATAAATATGAAAAAGGACCTTTGGCAATGAAATTCAAAGCAGATGGGACTGAAATGCAGGCATAATTGTAAATAAGAAATTTACCTGCTTGATGGCTGTAACAGTTATAACAAAGAAAAGTGGAAGTCCACTGGTAACCGGGCTAGTCGGTGTGTCTACTGTGACCTAGGTAAAGAAATTAAATTGAACGTAAAAGGAAAATAAGCCATTCACTCATATGCAGGACTCATATGCTACAACCATTTCAGGTAGAAAAACAGACAAAACATATCCTGGTAACAGGGTCAATGTTGACTTTCATTAAAACAAAAGCAATCCACAGAGCAGTTAGTGTAAGGAAACAGTTCTAATTCAGGCTTAGGTTTCATTCCAGTTTGGATTAACGCCTTCCATGAAATAGAACCAATCATTTACCATCTCTTTGTTGAGTACCGTTCTTTCAGCCCCTGTGCTATCATTAGCCAGGCTCTAGAGATGTTGCTTTAAATAAGATAGAGAATAGTCCCTGCCCTCGTAAAGCTAGCAGCTTACGGGAAAACAGTCAACCAAGTGAAATGCTGAAATCTTAAGAGTAAAGCTGAGTTAACTAGATGAAGTATGAGCTTTCAGGCAAGCACAGAGGACCGCATATACAATGTCTCTATGGTAGGAGCGCGGGGGTGGGGGGGCACAGGTAAACAAATAAAGGAAGCCAAAGGCAGGACAGAGTGTGGTGTAAGATGGGGCTGGAGAGGGGGACAGAGGCAAACCCAAGCAGGGTCCTCTAGGCTAGAGCTCATTGTTTATCCCACAGTGGGAGATAACTAAAGCTTTTAGGCAAGGAGAGGTCCCATGAACAAAACTACATTTTGAGAAGATCATCCTCCCCAATTTGTGGAAAATAGAATGTAAGTGGGGAGTCCATAATGCGAGTACAAGATGATGGCTTGGACAAGGGGGGCAGCGGCAGACATGGAAAGAACTTCCATGGATAGTTCAGGGTTAAAATGGTAGGAATGGCAAGGAATTTTTTGTCGGGGTGATGAGAGATGACTTCTAAGTGTCTGGTGAACACGGCTGGGTAGATGTTGTCATTCACTAAAACAACAAATACTGAGAGAGGACTAGACCTGAGGGACAGAGGACCATGAGTTCAATCTGACCCCACAACTCGCTCTCTTCTCTAATCCCCACCCAGGCCGGGCTCTGCCACATCCCCCGAGTTAGAGACACAGGCTTTTATGTGGCTGTGGGCCTTCGTGCACAGCCTGAGATACCCATCTGGCATTCTTCACCAGGTTAACTTGCGCTAATCTTTCAAGGTTTAGTTCAGATATCATCTAGTCTTTGAAGTCTCCTTAAGCTCCTCTTGGTTAGAAAGACATATTAACTTCCACTGTATCCCCACAGCATGTCGCTCATGCTACTTTTATGACTTGTACCACATTAAATTAAATGGATACATGACTGTAACATACATTCCTTAAGGACAGAAAAGCCGTATCTTGATCGTCATTGTATCTGCTAGAATCTTTGTTATCTGGGATACTGCAAGGCACACAGTAGGTGCTTGGTATACATTCGCTGAACCAAACTGAACTGCGTGGCATGCGACAAAGAATGACTCTTCTGAGCATAATTTTGTATGCAGTTTATTTTATGCTGTTTTGTAAGATATCTTACGATGGATCACTAGAGGAGCTCTTTTTCAAATGACCCATCATTTAAGACTGAAATTAGCTCTTTTCCATATCACAACCCAGATTGGTTTTAAGTAGCAGGGCTAAATTAAATTATAGCACCATTTACTCAAAGCCTCAAAGTGGATAAACAGAAGCACTTAACATTAACAAGGCATTTGAGCAATTTCATTGGGATGTTTCTGCTTCGTTTAAAAAATGAAACGAGGAAAAAATACCCTTACTGTAATAAAATTTTCTGGGGGTAATTCTGGTGAGGGAAAACTTATAATAGCTCATAGACTTAAAAGATGGAAGAGGCAATTTAAGATGCCTAAAATTCAAAACACAAAAAAAACATTAGCAGGAACATAGAGAAGATCAAGTCTACCAGGCTTTCACACTTAAAAGTAAATGAATGAGGAAGAGCAAAACTGGTATCAGGAAGAAAAGTGATAAATTTTCAATTAAGCTGAATCTGGTGTTTAATGAAGTAAAACTATTAATCTGAACTATTTTCAATTTTAATATATGCCACTGTATTTAATGGTACACAATATATGTCCTTCTAGGATGAACAAAGATATGAAATCCATGAAAGTTTTTAAAGAAAGTAACAAATTCTCAACAGGTTTTCTAATAAAAATGCTACTTTGGAAACATATAAAATCATGTAAATCTTAAACTGTAATATTAGTACTTTAAAAAGTTTTATTAAAACAAGCCCTGGGCGCCTGGGTGGCTCAGTTGGTTAAGCGACTGCCTTCGGCTCAGGTCATGATCCTGGAGTCCCGGGATCGAGTCCCGCATCGGGCTACCTGCTCAGCAGGGAGTCTGCTTCTCCCTCTCCCGCTCTCCCCTCTTGTGCTCTCTCTCTCCACTCTCTCTTTCAAAT